AGAAAGAGGTAGAGTCAGGTGCTGTGGGGTGCCCCAGAGTAGAGGCTGAGGTGGCCCTGGTGCTCTGGGGCCACAGGCTGCAAAGGGACGAGATTCCTGAGCCCTCGGGGCAGGGCAGGGTGCAGGCAGGGCTGCATGCAAGTGTGAAGCATCCTGCCCAAAACAGGGCTTGCTGTGAGGAAAAGGACAGGGCTGTTGTCTCTGGCTGGTACAGGATGCAGTGGTGAGCTGTTTGGCGAGGTTTGGACCAAGGCAGCATGTGGGGGCACAGGGCTGTGCAGGCGGTTGGCTTCAGAGCACTGGCAGAGGTGTGAAGCAGTGCCCACACTGGGTATGAGGTGTTGTGAGCCGTGGTGAGGGACCACATGCCAGCCTGTGAGACCCAGCTGGACCCCCCTGTTATCCCAGTGGCAGGATGGGGAGAGCATGGGGAGGAGCAAGGTTTTGGCCTGAGGATGAGGTCAGGAGTACCCAGCCTGGGGAGAGCTGGAGGAAGGAAAAGGCAGGATGAGGGCAGAGCTGCTGGCCCTGGTGCGGGCAGCAGTGGCAGCCGGTCAGGGTGCTCGGGCTGTTGGGTACAGGGTGAGTGCGGGCTGAATTTAGCAGCTGGGAAGCATCAGCGAGGGGAGCAGGCTGGCTAATGCTCTGGTAACCATGTACTGTGGTGCTGCTGTCCTTGCTGCTTCGTGCCATCTCTCCGCTGGAAAGAGAATAAATTTGTATTTATACGGAGACCTGAATCGGTGCTCTGGCCTCTTCTATCTGTGTACCTTGGCTGAGTCAGGACAGCTCTTGGCGCTGTGCCATCCTGGCACTGATTCTGCAGGGCTGCTGGGACATGTATGTCCCTGTACCCTGTGTCATTCTGGTTGTCCACATTATTTGAGGCAGAGCAGAAGCTGTGAGCAGAGCTCTGGGCTCCCCAGACACAGGTGTGTCCACTGACCATCATCTTCCTTCATCCTCTTCCAACAAGGTCTGCTCAGGGCCATAGACAGTCCCTCTTCCTCACCTGGGAACTTCTGCCATAGGAAACCCTTCAACCCCAGGAAGGATGTAGGCAGCAGTGGGGTGCTGGGCAGGCAGTCCTCCCCCTCTGTGCTTTCTGCCTGGAGCCAGTGCCCAGAGGTGTCCGGGTGCTTCTGCCCCAAGTGCTGCCCATGTTTGCCGTGTCTCTGTGGCATACTGAGGGGCTCGGCTGAGGATTAGGGCAGGCTGGGGCTTGGCCCAGGGCAAGGCTGGGGGCTCTCAGGTCCTCCCCGCCACACAGGGTGCAGACCAGCCCCTGCTGATGGTGAAGCCTGCCCAGGACTGATACTTGTAGGGCTAGACCCCTGCCTGGAAGGGCTGGCAGTGCTGGGCAAAAGCCTGATATGGTGCTACTGCAGGGAAGTACAGGGACAGCTGTCACACAGGAGAGATTCGGGAGCTTAAATGGGGTTGAAATGCAGCCTCTTTAACTCCCCCTCTCAAGGGTAGAGCAAAATGCCCCATCCCTGCGCCACAGGCTCCAGGGCAAGGCAGGAGGTATGGGCTGTGATCAGGGAGGCTGGTCACATCCAGGAATAAATCCAGCACATGGTGCCAGGGAAGAGCTTTTATTTCTCAGCCAGCAAAGCTCAGTGGGGCCCAGCTGAAAGGCACTGGAGCCAATGAGTCGGGGCAGGGAGGCAGCAGGCGCTGCTGCACAGCGGGGCTGGTGGTCCCAGCAGTGGCAGGGTGAGGACAGCATTGTTCCTGCGCCACTGCAAGGCCAGTCCCCAGCCCTGGGGCTCCCTCCCGGGGTACAGCAGCCCCTCTGCCTGTGCTGTGCCCCCTCATCAGTGGTCTGGCAGCCTTTCCCCCATCCCCCCAACCGGCCCTGCTCAGGGCTGGCTGTGCCCTAGGGTTGTGGCCTGAGCTCTCTGCTATTGATGCCCTGCCCTGGGGATGCATCCTCCCCCCTTCCCTGGCTGCTATGGGGCAAGGGTGCCCCTCCACCCAACTCCTACTCTGCCCCCGAGTGCCCAGCCTGGAGCACTGCCCCAGGGGTGAAGCTGTCTGGGGGGACGTTGCCTTCCCCAGCATCTCCTGAGCCATTGCCTGCTTGCTGTTCCCTGCAGCTCGCCTCTTCCAGTGCCTCTCCGGGTGTTTCCTCCTCCAGTTCCAGGGGCCACTCGGCTGGCTTCAGCCCCTGGCTGGGAAGCCGCAGCCCTGGGGCTCTGCCTGACTCAGCCCTGGCCACGCTCCTTGTGCCAGCTCCCTCTGCCCCGCCGGATCCCTGCTCCAGCCCCTGCCTGAGCCCTGCTGTCTCTGTCCCCAGCACTGTCCCACATTGCCCTACAGCCAGCTTTTCCATCTCTGCTGCTGGGCTCTTTTCCTCTTTGTCCTCCTCCCTCTCCTCTTTTTTTTCTTCCTCCACCTTCTCCTCCTCTTCTTCCTCCTTCTCCTCTTCTTCCTCTTCACCCTCCTCCTCTTCCTCCTCTGTCTCCATCTCTGTTCCCCAGCCCTCTGGCTCTGCCCCACAGGTGCCCACGTTTGCTTCTTCCCCCAGTCCTGTCCCATCCTTTGCTTCCAACTCCGCCCCCACAAGCTGCCCCTGGGCTGCTTCTCTTCCTGGTGCTACCCCTTCACAACAAGCCCTGAGGGTCCTCTGTTCTGCTTGGTCAGCCCCTGTCTGTTCTGCTTCTTTGGTCCCTGCACCCTGATCCCCCTGCCCAGGGGTCTCTGGGCCCCCAACCTCACCCTGGGGTGCCTCTTCACACAGCATCGCCCCATTGCCCACCTCCCTGCTCTCCTGACTCTCACTGGCCTGCGGCCCTTGCGGCAGCTGGAAGAGGCCCTGGTAGCGCTTCCGATCCTCCACATGCTTCTTCCTCATCCTCTCCCCCAGCTGCTTCAGCTCCTTCTTCACAGCGGCTGCCATGGAGGGGTCCAGGTGAGCCACCCGCAGGAAGTCCTCCCGTGCCTCCCGCTCATTCCAGACAGCAGCGTGGGCCTTCGCCCGCTTGAAATAGGCCTTGGCGTTGT